GGGGGGGGGGGGGGGGGTGTTATCTTGTGTCATTTTCGGTAGCTGTGCTGTTCCTTTGCCAGGTGCAGGTAGGGTGGTCCGCGTGGAATGGGGAGGAATGCTGCTTTGTTTCGTCTGTTTTTCTCGAGATGCATCCGTGCTGCCATGCATGCTGAGAATCCGATGCAGGAGCAGAAACGACTCGATGACCATGTCTAGTGTGCCACGTTGTGGTGCTGCCGGAAGGGCGCTACGGGTATGAGCTTCCGGTCAACTACAGCACACTAAACAACTCTGACGGGGGCTCCTTGGATTTTCTAGACAGACAGCAACAAGTTAGGGGGCCGCGGAGAATCCTCCGAGGGCTGTCTTCCACAATCAATCAGCGACCTGGCTGCCAGCCTCGTTCCCCTCTTCTTGAAGTTATAGATGTGGTGTAGGCACGGCGAGATCGCTAGCGTTTGACAGCACCGACCACATCGCGCAACGAACCGCGCAAACCCAGCAAAAAGACGATCCAGCTAAAACAGCTCTCACCCTGACGAGCTCCTGTTTCGCAGCCGCATCAATGACATCATGCACACATGACGCCACGGATGCGGTTGTTGTTGTTGTCGTTGCTGTTGTCGTTGCTGTTGTCGTTGCTGTTGTCTCCACCATAGAGAACGTTCCGGTCTCCGCTTGGTGTATACATACCTTCACACATTCGTGCGGTTCCAACTGGCGCGGAAGCCCGCCATTGTCACAGGTCAACTGTCCCCAACGGGTATATCACACACATTTCAAAAAATAAAATAAATGTTGTAGCGTCCAACACCAAAAAATTCTTCCTCACCCTGAGAAGCTTGTCGAAGCGATCTCCGACCTCCGCACCAGACTTTGTGCTGCCGTCCCTCAGCATCTGCAGGAACAGCGGCAGGTACGACCACACGCCCTCCTGCCGACCGCCGTCGCCGGGGACAGGGTGGAAAGGGGGCGCACACACCGGAGAAAGGGGAGAGGTTCCGCCGTCAGCGGCAGGGCATGGAGGGAGGAGGACGTTATCGTGTTTTGGGTGGAAGGCATTGCGGGGTGTTGTTGTTTGTTGACAACGGCTAGGCAGGAGCAGCAACAACGTCAACAACAACTACTACTACTACAAGAAGTGTCACCGTCGAAAAAAACTAGTTTTCGTCAGCACAAACTATCCGTGAAAGTAACAGCAGCAGCAGCAGTAGCAGCAGCAGCGGCAGCAACGACGATACGATTTGCTTTTACCAAGGTGCGAGAAAAGACTGGGCCACTCGCAGAGCGCGAGGAAACCACCCCCGAACGCGGGTAACCCGGCCCTTCCACCTTCGAACCGGAAATCGCATTGACTTCTTGACAAGAGAGCGGCGTCTTTGATACGTACTTAGCTTTCACGCACCTTCATGCACATATACTGCCACTGCTGCTGCACGTATGGCAAACTCCTCCGAACGCTATGCGTAATAAAGTTTCGAGCGACGATTACCGTGAGCGGCATAGAGATGGGACCCCCTTCACCGAGCTCGACGGCTTCACAACCAAGCTTGTGCCAACATCAACAATGGCGTTTTTTGGGATAATCTCATCGCGGGCTTTTCCGCAGCTGAATTGTTGGCCTCCTTCCGCACCATCCCCTTAGTTGTGAAGCAACCGGGCCCTGAGGGGGTTGCCATCTTTCCGCCTCCTACGAGTACGTAAGTGCGTCAGCGTACCTCTCCGCCCTCCTGGCGTCCCATGCCCTCCAGGGCTCTCTCGAAAGCCCCTCCTGCGACGAGGTCGAAAAGCTGGAGCTTGGGCATTCCCCTACACCTGCGGCGGGGGGAGGGGGGTGAAACGGAGGAGGGGCCCATGTGGGGCCCGTCGCCCTCGCCTCTTCTCGTCGGCCCACCGCCCGCGCTCTTCTCGTCGACGTCGACGTCCATGCGATCGCCGCCGCCTCCGTCCATCCGAACTGCTAGTTTGCCCTCAGAATGCCTGGTCCAACAATTCGATAACATTTCGCAAGCAACGGCGAAGAACGTTTGAACTAATCATCGTGGCCAGCGAATGATTGCGTCGTGAATTCGCCTGGCTCATTTCGCTGGCGTCGTGGGCCCGTAAGTGGAGACATGTCGGGGCGAGTGAT